AGCCAGTGCTAGTGCGTGCGTTACCGATGGACGTTGGACATGTGTGTGATGGGATGGGCCCTTTAACGTCTATGATGACTTAATCACTTAGCCGCTGCCAATGCCCTGTCATAGCTCTTATTTGCCGTAAAGGTACTGTATGCACTGAGGCAGGCGCGATGTCCTCGTAAGTTGTGTGTGTGTGTGTGTGTGTGTGTGTGTGTGTGTGCGCGCTGTCTATAGGTGTGTGTGTCGTATGTGTGCAGCTGAGTCACCTCGTGCGGGTCCTCGCAGGCCGTTCGAAGCGTGACGAACGGGGAGCGCAGACACCGTGAAAAAAACGTCTCTAACCCATTTAAGATTACATCTTCTGATGTCAAATGAAACATTTTGACCTGACCTTTCAAAAAGTAAATTGCTATAACAATAAGGAGTTACGACTAAACGACAAGAATGTGCCGTCACGTATACACGTTCATCGCAGGAGCATTGCAGGTTGATACGGCCCCGTTTCTGGTGTAAGAATTGTACGGGGAGTAGAGGTGTCGTGGAAACGAAGTGCTTTTTGCAGTGGAGGCGAGCGGGGCGCTGCCAGAGCGGTGCCAGGGGCTTCAGACTGATTGCGCTCGCCTTGACCTTGACGGGGCGTCCAGTCCTTGCCGCTACTTAGTGATACAGCTACACTGCCAGAAACTCTACAGGGTGAGCCCAACAAAGAACATCACGTCCGGCCTGTGATCAGTCGAACGAACTCATTTTGCATACCAAATTGAATAGGGGAGGAAGGATTTGTTATTTGGATTATGAGAACTTACAATTTTTTCTAAAACGATTTACAATGGTTCAGCCACATCTCAGGTTGCAGCGGCCCAGGACTGCATCGCACCTTTCTAGTCTGATTCACACAACACGGAGCGGCGCGATGCGCATCGCTTCACTGAGACCTAAACGGTGGAGGCGCTCACCAGCCGCGCGCGCGCTCACGCACACAGTCTCACACAAACACACACATTCGTACACTCACACACGCGCGTGCCCGACCGCACATGGGGTGTGCGAGTTCAGAATTTCACAACCCCTGGGCCGTACTAAACCATCTAGTCTAGATCTCACAATACTTTGGGTCCATACAAAACGACAACACATTTGTGTTTTGTTAGAATTTGCGAGCATGTGAGGACGATTTCTATTATTGGTGACCTCGCCATCATTTAAAAAGCCAAATCAAACAGTAGGATTATGCGCAGAGATTCGAAGAAAAGCAGACAAGACATCCAAAGGGGCGTCACTTGCCTGCTACTGGTGCAGTAGCTGTTCGGGTCGTCAGCCGCGGCGCGGCGATGCGCACGACTGTCAGCCGGAGAAAAGCCCCGCAACTCTGTGCAACCAGTATGAACGATAAAAGAAAACCAGAAGGAGACGAAAGAGAGAGAAAGAGGGGCCCAAGGAAGTGGGGAGGGGGCACTGAGGAGGAGGAGGAGGGTGCTGAGCGACAGCTGTTTCGTTCTCAGCACCTTACCGTGTGCCTACTGTGCGTGCGCCCCCCCCCCCCTGCCGCAGCAGGTATGTCCGAGTTCACATGTTTCCTTCGTAATGTGGGCCGAACGTCATGTGAAGTACGATCCCCTGACAGGTGCGATGCGCATGCACGCGCGTCCCTGCACACACACACGCACACACACACACACAGCACCCACAACAAAACGGGAAGATTTCGGTCGGGATAACATGCATAATGAAGCAGCAGCGTAGACCTCCCACCGGCGGACAGGGCGGCGCAGCGCCGTCCGTGAAGCGAAACAAAAATCATGTTTGTTAAAATTGCGCCCGCGTCGCCGCAGGAAAAGAAGGATCAGCGCAAGTCAACAAGTATTGTTGTGGAATCAAAGAAGGTTGATATGGTGATATGGCACTTGCATGTCGGCATATTAAAAGTGTGGGCGAACTCTTGGGCCCAGGAAAGAGAAGAGGGGTTATAAACTGCAAAAACATTAGTTTTCAGGAAACACAAAAAAAGGTTCCCCTCAATTATGAGAAAAATAATTATTAAACCTTCTCCTCACTCTATAAACAATGGCACACAAAAGGAGTCAGCAAGTCTAAATATCAAAGATCAACAATTCTGAGGAAATAAGTGCCTTGTGTGCGCTCAGTTAATGATAAACGGGTACCTTAATATTCTCAGTTTGGGGTTAGGAAGTACTGGATCCCCCTTTCGCTTTCTGAACAACCTTCAAATGACGGAACGTGCATATTTTCGGGGATAACGTCAGCAAAGAGTATTGCACGGTCTTTTGTGATGGTGCTTGAAAAACAAAACAAAAAACAAACGCAATAATAAACTGATCTCGCGTATTTCTGATGACCAATCTCTAATTATGAAGCGATTGCTGATCTCAGTTCGTTCGTAAGCTTCGGTCGGTGATAAGTAATTCAAAATGATTCCAATTTTGAACACTATAAACATCGTTCAAAATGATGAGTGAGAAATTTATAATTCACTTCAACGCGCAAATGAACCATGGGAATCAGAATTGGATTATTTTCTTCGCGCAACAATATGCGACTTACGATTTGCAGCTCCACTCATCACAGTGTACCGGTCCGTCCGGCGAGCACCGATACGCTCACGGCCCGCACCTCGCCCTGCACCCCCTCGTGTTGTCTGACACGGCCGTCCTGACGCCGCAGCCGCCGCAGCACCGCGGAGCACCGCGCACATTAAGATTCATTAGACAGAGGCGCCTCGTTAACATTCTAACACAATTAAGGTTTTGCATGCGTGGACGCCCTGCCGCCCGACCTCTTGCATCCCTCTGCCTGCCCCTTCCTCCCTCTCTCCTCTCCCCCTCTCTAACCCAGTCGTCACATTTCGGTAATGCGATACAATACAAAGGGATAACGCACCGTGACTGCCCCCTGCTTCGGATCGCATCGAGCGCGCGCGTGTTTCGTATCTCTCACACAAGGCACTGTGAGCGAGCGCGCGGGCGGGGTCCCAGAGAGGGACGCTTTTGCGGCGAGCAAGTGATACACTTCTAGGAGCGCTGCTTACCGAATCAGTGTACGAAGTCACGCGCGTCCAAGTGCACTACTGTCCTCTCGACCATCGCGCCGTGCCTCGCGGGGTATCGTCACGCGGGTCCGAGGATGGGCGGCAGGCTCGAGGGGTATCGTCACTGCAACAAAACATTGAAGTATCATACAATACTGAATATAAATTGTGCTAAAAAGAGTTTTTTTAGGCATCACGTTGCTGTAGTAGCTGCTGCTGCTGCTTGATCTCCGCGATCAAGATATGGTAATGCCAGCGTCCTCTTATTACAGCTGACAGGTAATTAGTAATTAGTATTTTGTCTCTCTCGCACCTCCGCGCCGCGCGCTGCGCCGGACGGCAGCAGCGGGACCTCCGGCCCGTGATAAATTATCTAACTCTCCGCGGGGTGGCCAAAAAATTTTGGAGGGGGGCAAAGCAGGAAGAATCATCTCATCCTCACCTGGGTCGGCCAGGAGTTGGGGGAAGAGGGAGGAGGGAGGGGGGTTCGGGAGCCCTGTCCAGCACGCTGGAGAACTGAACTGGAGAAGGGAGACAGGGGGGGGGCTAAGAGCCCGCGGGTCAGATTTCCGTCGCAACCCGCGACCAAGCGTGTCGTCCAGACACGGAGCGGCGGGAGCGCCAGAGGGGAAGGAGAGAAGAGGGGAGGAGGGAGGAGGGGAGGTGAAAGGGACTGAAAGACGAAGAGCACTGCGCCGTGGAGGCTTCAGACTGGCGATTGGGGGCAGGGCAAAGGAGGTAAATACACTGTCCTCTTCTTTTTCTTCAGTGTAACTACCCCCTCACCCCTCTTATTGCATTTTCGGACATTTAGAAAAGAAAACAGAAAACTAAAACTTTTAAGTATGGCAACTAAAATGACAAGAAGTTCTTAAAGACGTAATTCATGAAACCGATAAAGACTTCCAACGTAAAAATTTCGTGGCTTACAACCAGCGCCTACTGCACGGAGCTGAGTCGGGGCCTCTGCTTCTTCCAATCCCTTTCCTGCTTGACTCAAAAATTCGGAGAACACTGTACGCGTTATGGCAGCCCACACCAAGCAGCCAGGTGTGTCTTTCTCTCGGCCGTCTCTCATTACGATGAAGCCACTCAAGGAATTCAAAACTTTTTCGCCCTCAATTCTGTCGCAGTCAGCTGTTCTGCGGAAGCAGCAGACAGGCGGAGGGCACCAGGCAAAAAGCTTTAATGGGCATATCAAATGCAGGTCACTGTAGCAACAGTCAAAATCGACAGTTTATTCACAATCTGTGGCATTTCACGCCTCTGTGCGAAAATTCTAAACGTGCTGTCCGAGTTTGAAGTATAGTTTTGTTTGTAGTTATATAGTTGGGATACAAATTTGCATCCGGTAGAGAAGAGCTTTCGAACACTCCCTTCCCACTTAGTGGGTGATATTTTGAGTACGTGGTTTTTTAAAACATTACAGATCCACGGTGTTGGATTTGTGTATTGATCAGTTATGACATTAAGTCGAAAGAGCATAATACACTTAGAGATAACAGCCGCAGGGCAGAGCCATACAGAGTGGTTGTGGCGGGAACGCTTGCGTATGGTGGTCGTGGCCCGTGCGCACGCGGTCCGCCAAGGGACGCCTGCCAAATCCACGGCCTTGTCATTCAAACGTTCTTAGAGCCACGCTACGCCACGCCGGCCGACCCGGGCGGCGAAAAACAGAGCGAAGCCGAGCCGTGCTGCCGCCGTCGGCTCCAAAAAGTCTCTCAATCCCGTCCGGTTTGACGTGGAAAGGCGGCCCGCCCTGGCCCAGGCGATCGACGTTGCCACCGATGTGATGTGTGGAAAAAAGGCAACACTCACGCATGCACACAGACAAGTAAAGAAAAAAAGGAAATTATTGAAGAAAATGTAACAACAAAATTGTAATGGATTATGGCGAAATTTTCGTAAGCCGAAAAAAGTATGGGCTCAGGTGTATATTAGTAAGCTTCCCAGGTGGAGGTCTATATATGCTTTATATATAATTATATATGTTCTGTATATGGTAATATATGTCCTCATATATGAGCACATATATGACCATATATTACCGTATATTGATTATATTTAATTGTATATGGGCTCATACCATATATAGGTCCATATATTACCGTATATGGACCCATATATGGTAACATATAAGCCCATACACAAGCATGTATGATCATATATAACCATATACATACAACCAACCATATATGTAGACATATATGTCGTCATATATAAAGCATATATCGCTGTATATGATCATATACAAATCATATGGCCATATACAACCACTTTTACCTGGGTTATTATTCTTTCAATCAATCTGCTTCAGATTCTTCCATGCTTAGTTGGGTACAGCAGTAATTCATACATTTCTTCATATTTTATTGTTTTTTTCGGTTAACATGTGTTTTGTTTTGTTTTTTTCTCTGAAATGACAGGCAGACAAGATTGTCTTATGCATGAAATGAAAATGTTACACTGTTTCACACAAGCCTAGCTCACAAAGTTGCCGCCGGCTCTTCTCGGTCCAACTCCAGAGGCAGTGCTTTGATGAAATTGCTCTCAGCTTACGGCGCAAGCCACCGGCGAGGAGGATGAGGAGGCAGCAACAGGCACCAGGCACCACTACCACCACCACGTACTGCTGGACCTAGACAACTCCACTGCACACACTGGAGTGCACGGGGGAGTCCGAGACAGAGGGCGCACAAAGCCAGTGAGATTGAGAGAGAGAGAGAGAGAGAGAGAGAGAGAGAGAGAGAGAG